CACACACACACACATATATATATATATATATATATATACAGATGGGTATACATATACATACATCACAGTAAATATACTTTATATGTACATGTATGTCACACGAATATGTATACATTAATGCGCAGACGCACACATACACACATACTCTGAAATCAATAACAGTGGATTATGTCATTTTGAATAGTTACTAATAGTGAAAATTTAATGCATATACTTTGCATTACAGTAAAGGTAATCATTGTATAATTAGCACTACTGTTGATTACGCCAACAAGGCAGTTCGAGCATTAGCGTTCGTCGCCCCCCCCCCCCCTTCACCGTCTTGCCTTGAGTTCGTGGGGGGTCTTGCTCAAGCACTCCTCCTCTGCCATGGGCCTGGGCAAGATCTCGCTGCCTTTTTACTTTTCTAACGGGTTCGTAATTTCTTTGGTAGGATTAGGGCGATATTTTATATCTTAGTAAAATATCGCATAGGTAGGCTTGTATTGTTTGTGTTTCATGTATTCTGTGTGTTTTGATGTGTATTTGTTTTGTTTTGGTGAAGGCAAAAATAAAAGTAATTTGTAATTAAGTGACTTTTCCATATTTTCCAAATCTTTGACTATTAATAAATAAAAGTTAATAATAAACGACTGGTAAATGATAATGAAAGAGTAATATACTATATTTACTATGAAAGCATTACAATATCATAATGAAAGTAATTTATATATAAATGATAGTACATTGAAACATGATAAATGAATGACTGAATTAACGTAATAAGCTAGCGAATACTTTAACACAAAGACAGATATTGTTACGTGGTATTAGCCTTTCAAAATCAGGCCGCATTTTGATCTTTCGTCTATGATTCGGGCTACCGCATTAGGGGAATTAGAGTACAGCGGAGCTGCTCTTCCCCTGAATTCTCCTAATGACATACCAGCCGTAACAAGTGGGGGCCTGTCCGGGATATGTGCTAAGTAGCATTTTGTCAATTTGCATTTTGCTAAATCAATTGTTTCGCCATTTGCAACATGTGATTCCCTTGGTGTTACACTTTTAGTGTGTTTTTATTAGCCGTTGTAACGCATGTTCCCGTTGGTATTTTGATGTGCAATTGACTTCATTACATCTCGGGTAGTTTGGTCATTAAGACGGTCACTTCTTAATTGTGCATCTACTGCACTTCGGTGATCTATGGGTTGTAAATAAGTCTTCGTTTATATTTGGAATTTGACTTTTGCTTGCTTGGTGACCATTTATGGTATTTTACTGTTTTTGTGTTTACTTTAATTGTACGTTTCGTAGTGATTTGGAACACAGGTATTGTAACTGTTGATCACGTTTAAAACATCCTATCTAGCTAGCTAGCTTATTTTCGCCTGTTATTTTTCTTGGTGATTTCATTATGTTCAGTGTTGAAAGTTTCGTTGATAATCCGTCAGCCGAAGCGCTGGTCGGTCTTACTAAAGCCCAGTGGAGTGAGTTAGCCGCTCATTATTGCATCCCTTTTCGGTCATCCTTACGGAAGGATGAAATTCGTACTTTAGTGACTGAATATTTGATAGAACACCATGTGCTGAGTGAGGATGAATTAGAGCACGTGTGTCCTCGGGATGTCACGATGGCACGCCAGTATGACCTGGAGAGCCGTAAACTAGACTTGGAGATGTTTAAGGCAGAGAATGAGCGGATGCGTCTCATGCAGAGACCCAATCAGGAACGTTATCCTCATTTTCGTATAGAGGATGCAATTAAATTTGTTCCTAAATTTAATGAAACCGAGCCAGAGTATTTCTTTATTCATTTCGAGCGAGTAGCTGCCTTGCATGGTTGGCCCGAAGATAAGTGGGTATTACTAGTACACAGCGCATTTGTTGGCAGGGCACAAGAGGTTTTCTCAGCTCTGGATTTGGTACAGTCACAGAATTATCATGTTGTAAAAGAAGCTGTGTTAAATGTTTATAAAAAGGTACCAGAGGCTTATAGACAGGATTTCCGCAATTGCCGTAAAGATGGTAAACAAACCTTTGTTGAATTTATCCGCCAAAAGCAACTTTTGTGTAAAAAATGGGTCGAGAGTGAACTTGATGCACTCGAGTACGATAAATTACTTGAATTGTTTATACTCGAGGATATAAAGAAGTGTATGCCTGTAAAAGTTCGCTCTCACATTGACGAGCGTGGTCTGCGCACATTAGCCGAGGTCGGTAGTGCCGTCGATCATTTCGCTCTCACTAATCCGAACTACTCTTGCAGATCTAATGAGCCTTCATTCCAGTCAAGCCAGCATAGTGGTAAGAGGATGGAGTATAGTGCCAGGACTGAACTGCCAGATACCCACAGGACTGTAAATATAAAGTCGTCAGAAACAGGTGGGGGGAGTAGGAATGTTGCTTCACGCGGTGAGAACTTTTCTTTTTGCCGTTATTGCAAGAAACACGGTCATGTCATGAATGACTGTTTTAAATTGGCAAATAAGCGTTCTGACAATAAACGTATTTTTCACGTCAATGCTAATAAGAGGAAAGAGGTTGCATCTATCTATCATGGTAATAAACCTGATCTTGACCTTTCCCCTTTTTCCATAGCTGAATCTGTAAATGTGACGCCTTCATTTAGACCATTTTGTTCTACAGGATTTCTTAGTGCCGATGAATCGTGCACGTCTTCTTCCCCGGTCACTATACTACGGGACTCGGCTGCAAATATATCATTGGTGCTCAAAGAGGCTGTTCCTAACCCTGACTGTTACACTGGAGAGATGGTAATTATTAATGGACTGATAGGGTCCAAGAACATTCCCATTTGTGAAGTTTACATTAAATCTGACTTGATATCTGGATATGTAAGATTAGGTGTTGTTGATAAGATACCAAGTGATGGCATTTCCCTTCTTATGGGTAATGATCTAGTTGGTAATAAGATGTGGCCTTGCCCTGTAGTTTTACCTAGTCCCACTAAGGAAAACAATACAGTAGATTTAGAGAGGGAGTACCCTGATCTCTTCCCCGCGTGTGCTGTCACACGCAGTGCCAGTCGTAGGGCCTCCCATCCTATCAAAGCGGTTACTCCTAGTAATACATTAACAGAGGAGAGCCCAAGTGAGGTAATTACAGAGGAATTCACACTAGCAGACTTCTTTAATTCATCAGCTAAAGTTTTAAGTCAGCCTGCATCTGACCATCCTGATATAGTGAATTTCAAAGCCACTCCAATTACTAAAGAGAAGCTAATTGAAGAACAACACAATGATCCTGATTTAAAAACATTTTATGATAGGCTTACTGACCTAAGTGATTTAGAAACTTCTCATGTGTGCTACTATCTCCAGTCGGGCGTTCTTATGCGTAAATATAAGCCATATAATATATCTGCAGACGATACAAGAAAGACTGTACATCAGATTGTAATTCCTAAGTCCCTTCATACTGACGTTTTGAATATTGCACATGACATTAGTGGTCATTTGGGAGTCAAGAAGACTTATTACAAGATTTTAGCTCATTTTTATTGGCCAAAAATGAAGAGAGATGTTAGTCGTTATTGTCAGTCGTGCCATATCTGCCAAGTAAAAGGTAAGCCAGGAGCTGGCATCAAACCATATCCCTTGCAACCTATCCCAGTGTTAAGAGAGCCTTTCAGTAAAGTAGTTATTGACTGTGTAGGTCCCCTTCCCAAGACTAAACGGGGTAACAAGTTTCTGTTAACTATAATTGATGTGGCCACCAGATATCCTGAAGCTTTTCCCCTCAGACGCATTACTACTAAGAATGTTGTGAAGGCCTTAATAAAGTTTTTCACCCAGGTGGGTCTGCCTGCCGTAGTACAGTCAGATCAAGGATCGAATTTCACGTCCAAACTGTATGAAAACGTTATGAAGTCCTTGGGTATACAGCAGTGCAGGTCTAGTGTATATCATCCTCAGAGTCAAGGGGTTGTTGAAAGGTTTCACTATACTCTAAAGACAATGATAAAAGCCTTCTGTTTGGAGACTGGTTCTGAGTGGGATGAAGGAATAGACTTGCTTCTATTTTCACTTAGGGACAGTGTTCAAGAGAGTCTCGGATATTCACCATTTCAGTTAATTTACGGCCATGAAGTGCGTGGACCACTAAAAGTCCTAAAGGAGTGTTGGTTAAATGAAGAGGAAGAGATTCCTATAGCTGCATATGTTAACAAATTTAAGAGTAGGTTACAAACAGCTATTTCAATAGCCCATAATCATTTGGGTAAGGCTCAGACGAAAATGAAAGAACATTTTGATAAAGTAAACAATTCTGAAGAAAGAACCTTTAAAGAGGGGGACTTAGTTTTAGCCTTGCTACCTCTTCCTAACCAGCCTCTTCAGTCTCGATATGCAGGGCCATTTCGTATTTTAAAACGAACCAGTGATACGAATTATGTAATTGAAACACCTAAGAGGCGTAAGAAACAACGTCATGTACACGTGAACCTCCTGAAAAAATACTATGAACGAAATGATTTGAAGGAAAATGTACGAGAGGTTTCAATAGTTGTACCTTCTAATATCAGTAGTGAAAATAATGAAACTATTCCTATTGTGGAGCCTAATCTCACCAATTCAGTCATCTTAGCTAAACCTGATGATAAACTTAAACACCTTTCTGCTGCCCAAGCAGCAAACATTCGTTCTCTTCTGCAGGAGTATGATAAACTATTCAGTGATGTACCACATCTCTGCCCTCTGCTGGAACACGATGTTGAGACTAGGGATGCTAAACCAGTACGCCAAGCTCCCTATCGCCTCAATACCGAGAAGAGGGCATTCCTGCAGGCAGAGATTCAACGTCTGAAAGAACAGGGTATCATCAGTCCCAGCCTTAGCCCCTGGGCATCCCCTGTGGTCCTAGTTCCCAAGAGTAGCGGCACTTACCGTCTATGCGTGGACTACAGGAAGGTGAATGCGGTAACTGTGGCGGACTCCTTTCCTCTCCCGAGGATGGACGACATCATTGATGATTTGGGGAGGGCACGCTATCTGTCGAAATTGGATCTCCTCCAGGGGTATTATCAAGTCCCGTTAACCGAGAGGGCGAGGCCGATTTCTGCGTTTGTCACCGCGGCCGGCCTCTACGAGTTCAGGGTTCTTCCGTTTGGGATGAGGAATGCCCCGGCAACCTTTCAGCGACTGATGAATTACCTGACGGCGGACCTGGAAGGCGTTCGCTGTTACCTCGACGACCTCGTAATCTGGAGCGAGTCCTGTGAGGAACACCTCGTCCGCCTGCGTGCGCTCTTCTCGGCCCTGGCAGACGCCAATCTTACGGTAAACCTGCAGAAGAGTGAATTTGGACACGCTCATGTCACCTTCTTGGGCCACGTGATCGGTCAGGGCCAGGTCGCACCTGTCGCCGCAAAGGTGGAAGCTGTTCTGCAGTATCCCGCGCCCGTCGACCGGAAGGGCTTGATGCGCTTCATGGGGATGGTCGGCTACTACAGAAGGTTCTGTAAGAACTTCTCGCAGGTATCAGCACCTTTGACAGACTTGCTGAGTACGAAACGGACATTCAGGTGGTCAGATGATTGTCAGCAAGCCTTTGAAGACCTGAAGCGCCTCTTATGTACCGCCCCCGTCTTGCAAGCTCCTGACATAAGTATACCGTTTACGATACAGGTGGACGCCAGTGACAGTGGTGTGGGAGCGGTACTCTTACAAAGAAGCGGAAGTGAAGTGATCCATCCAGTGTGTTATTTTTCTTATAAATACAAGTCTTATCAAAAGTCTTATGCCACCGTCGAAAAGGAGGCTTTAGGAATAGTGTTGGCCATTGAAAAGTTTAGAATTTATTTAACCAGTTCTATCCATCCAATTGAAATTCTCACTGATCATAATCCGTTAACGTTTATTGAAAATGTTAAGTTTAAAAACATGCGAGTGTTAAGGTGGGCGCTAACATTACAGCCATTCAATATAAAAATTTTCCATATCAGTGGCAAACGAAATATCATTGCGGACGCACTCTCGAGATCGTAGGTGGTGTGGTCTGCACTCAGTGGCCGCTGACTCGACACTGCGAAGGACAGAGGACAGGAGTATGCTACCGTCGCCCGTCTAGTGAAACAAGCTGTTACATTCTAAATAGTTAGATAGTTAAACTTTTTCCCGTGCGGTAAAAAGTTTTTTTTTTTGCGGGGAGGAGTATTACAGTAAAGGTAATCATTGTATAATTAGCACTACTGTTGATTACGCCAACAAGGCAGTTCGAGCATTAGCGTTCGTCGCCCCCCCCCCCCTTCACCGTCTTGCCTTGAGTTCGTGGGGGGTCTTGCTCAAGCACTCCTCCTCTGCCATGGGCCTGGGCAAGATCTCGCTGCCTTTTTACTTTTCTAACGGGTTCGTAATTTCTTTGGTAGGATTAGGGCGATATTTTATATCTTAGTAAAATATCGCATAGGTAGGCTTGTATTGTTTGTGTTTCATGTATTCTGTGTGTTTTGATGTGTATTTGTTTTGTTTTGGTGAAGGCAAAAATAAAAGTAATTTGTAATTAAGTGACTTTTCCATATTTTCCAAATCTTTGACTATTAATAAATAAAAGTTAATAATAAACGACTGGTAAATGATAATGAAAGAGTAATATACTATATTTACTATGAAAGCATTACAATATCATAATGAAAGTAATTTATATATAAATGATAGTACATTGAAACATGATAAATGAATGACTGAATTAACGTAATAAGCTAGCGAATACTTTAACACAAAGACAGATATTGTTACGTGGTATTAGCCTTTCAAAATCAGGCCGCATTTTGATCTTTCGTCTATGATTCGGGCTACCGCATTAGGGGAATTAGAGTACAGCGGAGCTGCTCTTCCCCTGAATTCTCCTAATGACATACCAGCCGTAACAATATATATACAGATGGGTATACATATACATACATCACAGTAAATATACTTTATATGTACATGTATGTCACACGAATATGTATACATTAATGCGCAGACGCACACATACACACATACTCTGAAATCAATAACAGTGGATTATGTCATTTTGAATAGTTACTAATAGTGAAAATTTAATGCATATACTTTGCATTAAAATTGTGTTTTCATTTTGAAGACTTGACGTTCATATTCTCTTAAAGAATTCACGATTGATCTCTTATCAATTCCTTAATACTGCTCTGTAATTACGATATTCTTTCCTTCATAATCTATTAAGATTACGGCGCATTTATTTCATTATCATTACATTCTGTAATATACAGAATCAATAAATATTTTATAAATACATTTTTCGAGACTTAGTTACCGACCAATGACTCAGTGGAGCTGCGAGGATCACGTGACCCCATTCCCAAAAATACATTCTATTCATCGTGAGCGTATAAAACTACTCATATTGACATGTGCGTTACAGAATTACGAAATCACAGTAAAAGACAAAACACCATGTTTAAGATTTCTGCTTTGTGCGTGCTGGTGTTGGTGCAGGTTTCTGCCGGACTCTATTACGAGAACAGGCCGTTAGTGTGTCCCTTGAAGCAGGAGGTGCAGTATGAAGACAAAGTAATACAAGCCACGTACTTGGAGGTCCTTGAGGAACCCTTGGTCGCTACGCACGTTCATCTCAAGACTGTTTACCAGACAACCACACTGCCCGTCACTGCCACCTACATCCTCACCGTCACTGCGTCCCCGCCAAATGCCACCGTCACAGAAGTCCAGCTGGTCGAGACTCAAGTGCCACACACTGTGACGCAGATCGAGACCGTCACCAACAGACTCACCGAGACCGTCCTCGACGTGGCCACACGAACGGCAACCAACTACCACACCCTCGTGGAAACCGTCCCCGTGCTCGAGACCCACTTTGACACCGTGACGGAGGTCCACACCCGCTTGGCCGATATCACGCTTACGGTGCAGGAGACCGAGTTTTCGACGCTCACCTGGACAGTCAGTCAGCTAGAGACCCAGCAGGTCGTGGAGAGCATCGAGGAGACGAGCGTGACGACGAGCACGGAATATGTTCCTCGATACAGAACCAACACTCACACGCTCACGAAGATGGTGACGCAGACTGTGTGCCCGCCTAGTGCACAACACTCGCTCAAATGGTGAAATATTCCTATTTTGTTGCTGACCAGACCTTTTCTTTGCAATAAATTGAGTTTAGAACATATATTTCAATCCAACTAAGCTGTAATGAAAATTCAAAGCAATGTCTATCCGCCAAGTGCACATCATACACTGATATGGTGACCAGCCAAATAAAAGACTTTAAGCAGGAGTGAATGTTTAATTCCAGCTAAATTGATTATGTTAAGTGAGTATGTGAGGACTAAATAAAGTGGTTATATTTTCAAGAAAAATCAACATGTTTCACTTGCAGAGATAGACTCCTGAAGACCCACTAGGTCAGGAGTGTGTCCCTTGATACCAAACGAGCATTCCTAAACTTACAAAAAACAGAAAATGTATAATAGTAAAAGAAGACTACATATTTTTCTTTGGTGTTTCAAAAGAAAATGTCATACAAACAATTATTAACTTTTACAGAAAACTCGGAAAATATATATTAAGCAGAAAAGAAGTATATTCTCACATTTTGTTATTGACCTAAAAAGTTATAATTTAAAGATTTGGTTGCTATGACCCGTGCCAGGGATGAAGGTATATAATTTACGAAAAAAATAACAGTTAATCAAGAACTGAATAACTATGGCCTTATTACTGTTCAGTTTAGGTTTGTATTTTCTGTTCAGTTTAGGTTTGTATTTTCCTTTCCATATTTAAGTAAAGAAAAAAATCATCTTTTCATTATCAACATAATTATGATTATTATGATCTGCATTCTAGAATATTAGTAGTTAGTAGAATTCAAAATTCATTATTCTTTAAGCATTCAATTCAAAATATATTACTGGGTAAGTCACTGACAGCGAAAAGTTCGTATTATTCCTCATGACGATTGCATTTCTCTCAATTATTCATTATGCCAATCCATGTTTCCTCTGTCGCTTGTTTTTTTGTAGCTATTTGTATGTATATGTGGACATATCCATCAACAAAATCTGTCTGCCAAATTACTGGTTGTATATTTCATAATCACAAATATCCAAGAAATGACAATCATAGTCTTTATTTATCAAAATACATCACTGGGTAACAGTCACCGGCACCGACGTCCGTAAAACAATCACAACGAGACCAAGAACTCTGGGTGTTCCTGGCGGACATGACTCAACATCTTGTGGTCGCGCTGCCCGCCGAAGTCCATCCCGCAGACAGGACACTGACGGCGTCGACCTTTGACAGGACACTGGTGTTCCTCCGGCACGGGAACGCTCTCGTCGCAGACATCACAAAACCAGCCACTGACTGTCCGACGAAGGATTCTTTGCTTCCGCAGACACACCTTCAGTAGGATATGAATAAGCCTTTCGGACGAGCGCTTGAAGCTGCGGTTGCAGGTGGGACACGAGAACTGAGAGGCGTCGTGTATGGTTCGATGTCCGTTGAGGGTGGTTCGTCGCATGAAGCCTTTCCCGCACACATCGCAGGTGAAGGGCCGATCCCCCGTGTGGGTATTAAGGTGCATCTTTAACTTGTATCGATTCTCGAAGCGCTTGTCGCAAAGATGACAGTGAGCGTTCTTCCTTCTGCGGGCGGAGGGCGAAGGACCAGTTGGCGAGGAGGTTACCTGCGGCGCCAGGAAGGTGACCGTGATGGGTCCGAGAGCGCTCTTGAATTCTTGGCTTACTGAAGGAGCAGGTGAAGGGGAGATCTTGAGTTCTTGGCTTACTGAAGGAGCAGGTGAAGGGCAGATCTTGAGTTCTTGGCTTACTGAAGGAGCAGGTGAAGGGCAGATCTTGAGTTCTTGGCTTACTGAAGGAGCAGGTGAAGGGCAGATCTTGAGTTCTTGGCTTACTGAAGGAACAGGTGAAGGGCAGATCTTGAGTTCTTGGCTTACTGAAGGAACAGGTGAAGGGCAGATCTTGAGTTCTTGGCTTACTGAAGGAGCAGGTGAAGGGGAGATCTTGAATTCTTGGCTTACTTCGAGGGATGGAGACGTCCAGGTCAGCGATGGGGCAACGTCCCAATCCGATGACTTATCAACAAAAGGGCTCAAGTAACTTGAATACAAAGGTCTTGGCTGACTCCATGAAAGGCCACTCGCAGGGCGCACACAATGTCTCTTCGGAGCCGGCAAGGGCGTTCCGAGTAAGTGGTCCATGATGTCCTTCGACGAAAACGCCCCCACAACAGCTCCAAAGGGCCAGGCATAACAAACCGCGCCAGGCCCATACTGAGAGGCAGCCACGTCAGGCAGATCCCAAAAGTTGCGCTCAAAGTGATCCATCTTGATGATCGAACAATGAGGGAAACTGTGTTGAAGCTACGAGTGAGGAAGAGGGTTATGAATGCTTCCTGATCTGAGGACGATCTTTACGAGTCAAGGTCACAGCCCGCCCGAGTCCCTTCGCCGTTTTTGCACCTGAGACGATCAAAATTGCTATTGTTATTATCATTATTATTATTATTGATGTGGTTATTTTTATAATAGGAATAATAATTATTAATATTATCATCATTATTATTATTGTCATCATTTTTATTTTCATTTTTATTATCATTAATATCATCATTTCTCATATATCAGTTCTAATATAATTTCTATTAACATTTCTATTATCATTAATATCATCATTTCTTTTATCATTTCTATCATCATTGTTATTATTATCATTATTGTTATTATTATTATCTTTGTTGTTATTATCATCATTATTGTTTTTTATCATTATTGTTATTATTATCTTTGTTATTATTATCATTATTGTTTTTTTTATCCTTATTGTTATTATTATTATTTTTGTTGTTATTATTATTATTTTTGTTGTTATTATTATTATTTTTGTTGTTATTATTATTGTTTTTGTTGTTATTATTATCTTTGTTATTATCATTATTGTTTTTTTATCATTATTGTTATTATTATCTTTGTTGTTATTATTATCATTATTGTTTTTTATCTTTATTGTTATTATTATCATTATTGTTATTATCATCATTATTGTTATTATCATCATTATTGTTATTATTATCATTATTGTTATTATCATTATTGTTATTTTTATCATTATCATTATTATTATCATTATTGTTATTATCATTATTGTTATTTTTATCATTATCATTATTATTATCATTATTGTTATTATCTGTATTATCTTTGTTGTTATTATTACCCTCCTTGGTTAACAGACGCACGTACAAGTATTCGTATTCACATATACGTATGGATGAGGACATAATCAAGTAATACGGATATACGCTAATATATCTGCCTACATACCTATTTCTCTCTAAATATATACATGCATATATCTTTTCATGCATGCATATATATATATATATATATATATATATATATATATATATATATATATATATATATTATATTCATATATATATATATTGTCTTTATAAGAATTCAATTGATTTAGACTTTTATGAATATCCTTTTCTCAAAATTATATTCCTGAAAATTGAATCGTAAATATATCAAAGGTACTTATAGTGAAATTATGATTAATATTGAGAGGAGTTAAGCATAAACTACATGGTTATTTCCGATAACATAATATGCATTGAATTCTTTTAACACTTGATCAGATTTTACTTTTGACATAAGATTTGCAAATGAAAGAAAAGAATTGAGGCTTAAAAGCGACATCAGATGATTTTTCGAAATTCCGCACTTGTAGAAGCCTTAACAAGCAACTCCGTAAAGCAGAAAAATGAGACGGTTATGTTTTCCATGTCTTAAACTCGTAAATTTGATCACTTCTGTAGAAAGTGAACGCGTTCACAATGCATTACAGCAAGCAAGAAAGTTTGTCTTTCATCAATAGTGTAAATTCATAACGAAAATGTTTTCCTTTCCATATTAAAGTAAATTCTTAAAAAAGAAAGAAAATGATTAATTATCTTATCATTATCAACATAATTATGATTATTATGATCATCTTTATAACAGTTATTACTAAAATGATTATGATTATAATTATTATCATCATTATTTGATATAATTATTATCATCATTATTTGATATAATTATTATTATTATCTATATTCTAGAATATCAGTAGTTAGTAGAATTCAAAGTGCAAAAAAATACTATTTATATTCTTTATTTATTAAGCATTCAATCCAAAACATATCACTGGGTAAAGTCCCCTGCACCGAGGTGCGTACACACAGTTACAACGAGGCCTGGGTGTTCCTGGCGGACATGACTCAACATCTTGTGGTCGCGCTGCCCGCCGAAGTCCATCCCGCAAGGAGCAGGTGAAGGGGAGATCTTGAATTCTTGGCTTACTTCGAGGGATGGAGACGTCCAGGTCAGCGATGGGGCAACGTCCCAATCCGATGACTTATCAACAAAAGGGCTGAAGTAACTTGAATACAAAGGTGTTGGCTGATTCCATGAAAGGCCACTCGCAGGTCGCACACACTGTCTCTTCGGGGCCGGCAAGGGCGTTCCGAGTAAGTGGTCCATGATGTCCTTCGACGAAAACGCCCCCACAACAGCTCCAAAGGGCCAGGCATAACAAACCGCGCCAGGCCCATACTGAGGGGCAGCCACGTCAGGCAGATCCCAAAAGTTGCGCTCAAAGTGATCCATCTTGATAATCAAACGAGTGAAGCACTGTTGAGGGTACGAGTGAGGAAGAGGGTTATGAATGCTTCCTGACCTGAGGACGATCTTTACGAGTCAAGGTCACAGCCCGCCCGAGTCCCTTCCCCTTTTCTACACCTGGGACGATCAAAATTGCTAATAACTATTATTATTACTGTGGTTATTTTTATAATAGTAATACTAAATATTATCATTATCATTTTTCTTATCATTTATATTATCATTTATATTATCATTTATATTATCATTTATATTATCATTTATATCATCTTTTATATTATCATTTATATTATAGTTTATATTATCGTTTATATTATCATGTATATTATCATTTATATTATCGTTTATATTATCATTTATATAATCATTTATATTATCATCTTTATAATAATAATAATAATTATTATTATTATTGTTATTATTTTTAACATTATTATTATTGTTGTTATTATTATCATCATTAACATTATCATTATTTTTGATTTTGTTAATACTATTATTATTATCATCATTAACATTATCATTATCTTTGATATTGTTAATACTATTATTATTTTCCTTATTATTATTATTTCCATTATTATTATTTACAATATTATTTTCATTATTATTATTTCCATTATTATTATTTACAATATTATTTTCATTATTATTGTTTTCATTATTGTTATTTTCATTATTATTATTTTCATTATTATTATTTTCATTATTATTGTTTTCATTATTGTTATTTTCATCATTATTATTTTCATTACTATTATTTTCATTATTATTATTTTCATTATTATTATTTTCATTATTATTATTTTCATTATTATCATTTTCATTATTATTTTTTTCATTATTATTTTTTTCATTATTATTATTTTCATTATTATTATTTTCATTATTATTATTTTCATTATTATTATTTTCATTATTATTTTCATTATTATTATTTTCATTATTATTATTTTCATTATTATTTTCATTATTATTATTTTCATTATTAGGATTTTCATTATTAGGATTTTCATTATTAGGATTTTCATTATCATTTTCATTATTATCATTTTCATTATTATTATTTTCATTATTATCATTTTCATTATTATCATTTTCATTATCATTATTTTCATTATTATTATTTTCATTATTATTATTTTCATTATCATTATTTTCATTATTATCATTTTCATTATTATTTTCGTAATTATTATTTTCGATATTATTTTTTTCAATATTATTATTTTCGTTATTATTATTTTCGTTATTATTATCTTCGTTATTATTAATTTCGTTATTATTATTTTCGCTATTATTAATTTCGTTATTATTATTTTCGTTATTATCATTTTCATTATTATTATCATAATCATTATCATAGCAAGTTCAAACATCTGTCTGGTTAAAAATAAAGCACATAGATGAACAAGATAACAAAATTCAAGATTTCCTTTATATACATATTAAAAAATCCTGATTCAACCCGAAAGACCCTATAAGACGTAAAATACGCAATTACAAAATACTTAGCCGAAAGCGATCACAGGCAGAGACACGCATGACTCGAGACGTACAGAATGGCGGAGTGGCTGACTGAAAGCCAGGTGCATGTATCTAATTTAAGTATTAAGTGATGGGTCTCATGAATACTTCATTAAATAGATCGCTAAATCATATGATGAATTCCGATATGAAAATAAGTATATACATGACGAAAAATATGAATGAGTTTAACAAAACGGAACGATGCCACTAATTTAAATAATAATTAATCCATCTAAAGCATTATTACTGACCCAAATTTCGTCCTTCCATCTTATTAGTCTTCATCATTCCGTATTGGTCGTCAACGACACTTATATCTCTCTTTTCGCACTCCTTCAATTTTTTTAACTGTCTTCTTGACGGTTTATTGCCCTTGTGACTTAACCAATCTGTCTCACTTTGTGTATGGACACATTCCTCATGACGACTGTATTTCACCCAATTATTTATTGATTTCTGCCAATCCATGTTTCATGTCTCTTGTTTTTTGTAACTATTGTATGTATATGTGGATATATTCAACAATAAAATCAAATTACTGGTTGCATATCACAAAAATCCAAAATAAATACCAATCATAGTCTTTATTTATCAAAATACATCACTGGGTAACAGTCACCGGCACCGACGTCCGTAAAACAATCACAACGAGGCCAAGAACTCTGGGTGTTCCTGGCGGACATGACTCAACATCTTGTGGTCGCGCTGCCCGCCGAAGGCCATCCCGCAGACAGAACACTGACGGCGTCGACCTTTGACAGGACACTGGTGTTCCTCCGGCACGGGAACGCTCTCATCGCAGACATCACAAAGCCAGCCACTGACTGTCCGACGAAGGATTCTTTGCTTCCGCAGACACACCTTCAGTAGGATATGAATAAGCCTTTCGGACGAGCGCTTGAAGCTGCGGTTGCAGGTGGGACACGAGAACTGAGAGTCGTCGTGAATGGTTCGATGTCCGTTGAGGGTGGTCCGTCGCATGAAGCCTTTCCCGCACACATCGCACGTGAAGGCCCGATCCCCCGTGTGGGTATTGAGGTGCATCTTTAACTTGTATCGATTCTCGAAGCGCTTGTCGCAAAGATGACAGTGAGCGTTCTTCCTTCTGCGGGTGGAAGGCGAGGGACCAGTTGGCGAGGAAGTTACCTGCGGCGCCAGAAAGGTGACCGTGATGGGTCCGAGAGCGCTCTTGAATTCTTGGCTTACTGAAGGAGCAGGTGAAGGGGAGATCTTGAGTTCTTGGCTTACTGAAGGAGCAGGTGAAGGGCAGATCTTGAGTTCTTGGCTTACTGAAGGAGCAGGTGAAGGGCAGATCTTGAGTTCTTGGCTTACTGAAGGAGCAGGTGAAGGGCAGATCTTGAGTTCTTGGCTTACTGAAGGAGCAGGTGAAGGGCAGATCTTGAGTTCTTGGCTTACTGAAGGAGCAGGTGAAGGGGAGATCTTGAATTCTTGGCTTACTTCGAGGGATGGAGACGTCCAGGTCAGCGATGGGGCAGCGTCCCAATCCGATGACTTATCAACAAAAGGGCTGAAGTAATTTGAATACAAAGGTGTTGGCTGACTCCATGAAAGGCCACTCGCAGGTCGCACACACTGTCTCTTCGGAGCCGGCAAGGGCGTTCCGAGTAAGTGGTCCATGATGTCCTTCGACGAAAACGCCCCCACAACAGCACCAAAGGGCCATGCATAACAAACCGCGCCAGGCCCATACTGAGAGGCAGCCACGTCAGGCAGATCCCAAAAGTTGCGCTCAAAGTGATCCATCTTGATGATCGAACGAGGGAAACTGTGTTGAAGCTACGAGTGAGGAAGAGGGTTATGAATGCTTCCTGACCTGAGGACGATCTTTACGAGTCAAGGTCACAGCCCGCCCGAGTCCCTTCGCCATTTTTGCACCTGAGACGATCAAAATTGCCATTGTTATTATTATTATTATTATTGATGTGGTTATTTTTACAATAGGAATATTAATTACTAATATTATCATTATTATTATTGTCATCATTTTTATTTTCATTTTTATTATCATTAATATCATCATTTCTCATATATCATTTCTAATATCATTTCTATTAACATTTCTATTATCATTTCTATCACCATTTCTTTTAAAAATCATTTCTATTATCATTTTATTATCATTTCATTATCATTTTTATAATGTTTATTATTATTATTTTTATTATGTTTAACATTATCATCATTGTTATTATTATCATTATTGTTATTATTATCAGTATTGTTATTATTATTATCAGTATTGTTATTATTATTATCTTTGTTGTTATTATCATCATTATTGTTTTTTATCATTATTGTTTTTTATCATTATTGTTATTATTATCTTTGTTATTATTATCATTATTGTTTTTTATCATTATTGTTATTATTATTATTTTTGTTGTTTTTATTATTATTGTTTTTTATCATTATTGTTATTATTATTATCTTTGTTATTATTATCATTATTGTTTTTTATCATTATTGTTATTATTATTATCTTTGTTGTTATTATTATCATTATTGTTTTTTTATCATTATTGTTTTTTTATCATTATTGTTATTATTATCATTATTGTTATTATCATCATTATTGTTATTATTATCATTATGGTTATTATCATTATTGTTATTTTTATCATTATTATTATTATTATCATTATTGTTATTATCTTTATTATATTTGTTGTTATTATTACCCTCCTTGGTTAACAGACGCACGTACAAGTATTCGTATACACATATACGTATGGATGAGGACATAATCAAGTAATACGGATATACGCTAATATATCTGCCTACATACCTATTTCTCTCTAAATATATACATGCATATATCTTTTCATGCATGCATATATATATATATATATATATATATATATATATATATATATATATATATTATATTCATATATATATATTGTCTTTATGAAAATTCAATTGATTTAGACTTTTATGAATATCCTTTTCTCAAAATTATATTACTGAAAATTGAATCGTAAATATACCAAAAGTACTTATAGTGAAATTATGATTAAGATTGGGAGGAGTTAGGCATAAACTACATGGTTATTTCCGATAACATAATATGCATTGAATTCTTTTAACACTTGATCAGATTTTACTTTTGACACAAGATTTGCAAATGAAAGAAAAGAACTGAGGCTTAAAAGCGACATCAGATGATTTTTCGAAATTCCGCACTTGTAGAAGCCTTAACACCGTAAAGCAGAAAAATGAGACGGTTATGTTTTCCATGTCTTGAACTAGTAAATTAGATCACTTCTGTAGAAAGTGAA